CCCCCCCGCTCCATCCCTCAGATACATACACCTTGCATGGGGTTCAACTCAGGTAACTTTACTGTCTAAGAGTTAGGCATGTAATCCTAGCCAGATGACCCTCACAACAGTAAAAAGAGATGGGTACCTATATTTCATCTGTTTAAGCACTTTGATGAAAAAGGATGGATTGCTTTAGGATGACTGTTGTATTTCTTGCCCTCTCAGCTTCCCCATTGCTGTTACAGCAATGATGTAGTGTTGTCTGCTTGCTGCTGAATCACCCAATATTACCTCCCAGTATCTGAAGGTAACCTGAGGGAAACTGAGACTTTTAGATGGCTAAAATATGAAAGAATCTAGAAACTGTATAAAATAATAGCTTCCTTGGTATGTGTTAATCACACAGAGGACAACAATAAACAAGACTAAAATTGAGCAATGGCCTTACTTGAAGAAGATTAAACAGGGAAAAAAAAATTGACTTCTATGTCCTGTCTACCTAAAAGATGTATGGGTCTTCTTAAATGTGTTTGTTTTTTCTCTTTTCCTCTCCCTCCCCCATCTCTTCTTACCTTACCTTTCTAAAGGAGCAAGATTCACGCAGTCATAATGTGTTTCTCTTTCCTGTTACCTTTTGGAACCCGTTACCCTGATATCATACAAATTTGATGATGGAGAGACATTTCATAGCTGATAAAATCCCAGTGATTTTTTTTCAAAAACAGCTGGTAGCAGAGGAAGAGTATAACTGTTCATCCCATGGGAAAGACTACATGCATTACTGCACACCAGAAAGTCTATCCAGACTGCCCATTTAGTCCCAACAGGCTGGAGAAGTTTTGATCAGAGCTCACACCTATAGATTTGACCAAAGGCAGTACATTGTCAGCTCTTGTGCTCTTACAGGTACTTGCTCACCGCAAGCATTAAGGCCCTGTCTACTGGGAGAACCTTGTGGACAGTTAGATAGTAGCAGGACAGTGTAGATATTGAAGAAGTAAAAATTATTTTGTAGAAAGAGGAAATAATTTTATTTCAAAGACTATGTAATACCTTTTCAGCTTGAAGCTTATGAAGAATCTAGATGGTGAGATGGTTCTCTCTTGCAGCTGAGAGAACTCCAGGTCTTGCTAAAAGGACTTCCATCCAAACAGGGAAGAGAAGAATTGGTAGACTAAAACCAGAAAGTAGCTCCCAGAGTTCTCCCAAATCTTCGTAAGCACATTATCAAAAACAAACAAGCTGGCTGATTTTTCTATTTTGCAAGTCACCTTTGAAACAAGGACATGTTTCAGCCTTTTCAGCATCTTTCCATGACTTCATTGTTAGACTTTGTTTGAACAGTTAAAATGCCAAGTTAATGTGTGCAGACTGTATAAACTCATCCAGCTGGTACCTT